GATTAGAGTGATTAGACGTAGACATTCTCACAAGAATTCTGACAGCTTGAGATATTAGGTCACCAGCTATCAAGACCATAAATGCGTCTCCACGGCCGGAAGCGCAGAGTCCATGATCGGGGCGGCGGCCGAGATTCACCAGGATTTATGGGGTCACACCACCATACTTCACGATCCCAAATGTCGATTGGACTACCCACTTGCTCTAATCAGGCTCCACCATGCAGATTTTCAGCCGCGATTACTCCTCCAGGAACTCTTCCTATAAATACAAGGCTCAAGCTACATTCAAAGGGTTCAAAGACCAAACCAAAGCCTCCCACGGAGCAACTTATTTTTTCTTGTAATGCACTTTCAATATCTTTACTTGCTTTCCTAGGAGTAGTGTTAGACTGTAAGGAAAATTCATTCATCAATATATCATACGACCCTTGATTTTCAAGGCGCCGGAGCACCATCCCTGTTGTTCGTTCACTCACCCCATATATCATACGACTGTCGCTCCCTGAGCAACGCACCGGAGCACCGCCCAAAACCCACCACCAACACCATCACTCAACGGCCTTGTAGTTCAGGCCGTGAACCTAACAGCCGAGACTAGTTCCTCTCTCAACTACAATCGTTTGATTAGAAGACGAGTTCAAACAGGCGCACCACTTATCCATCCTACACTCATCAACATCTCGATGATGAGTGTAGGATGGAAGATGAGAGGGATGTGAGGGAGGCTTGGATGTTAGTCTGGTGGGCTTCGAGAGAAGAGACGGAGTCGACAACATCGTCAAGTTGGGATTGGAGCTGGTCGTGGCAAACATCAGCGGTGGCGGCACCGAGGTCCTTATTAGAGATCGAGAGATGTTGGGATTTGCCCATGCGGGCTCTGATACCAGTTGATAGGGTCTGGCTTACAGAAAGATGGAAAGAGCATAAATAGTAAAGGAAGACGTTGAAGAAAGAGTAAGGAAATGAAAGAAAGTTGTAATTGTCATTTCAACTGTCTAAACAAACGGCACATTACATCTTTATAGTTACAGACAAGGGAACCCTAGATGATTGGGGACAAGTGGCGACAATCCCAAGGTAGATCTGTTACTCAGTATTATTCTCTTAGTGCTAAGGAAAAACATAGAACACTGGTCCCATAACCAAGTGGGCCTTCGTGATACTGGGCTTGCAGGTTTGAGAAGGGAGGTTGTAACATTGTAAGATGTATGTGGTATGTGATATGAACTGAAGGGACGGTTTTTGTTAGGGTTAGATCTTAACTAGGTTTTGTTTGTTGTTGTTTGGGGGTTGGAGCTTGCGGTTGGTGGTCATGGAGGAATGGGGGGAGAAGAAATCGGATTGAGGAAGAGCGCAGGGAGGGAGAGAGAGAGCGAGAGAGAGAATGAGTGTGTGTTTTATTTTGTAAATATTTTTTCTTATTTTTTCGATTTTTTAAATATTTTATTCATATTAAATATATA